ATCTTACAAAGGAATTGAGCTTGCAGGTCTCAGCCCCTCAAGTCCCTACCTTCTCGGTGACTTACAGCCAGGTGTGAATTTAAGCTGAGAGGAGAACCAAACCCACCCAAGTCTGGGATCCTGAGTAATTCTCCCTCACCGTCTGCCACCCCACTTTTTAAAATCCTTTGTCTTCCTCTTTATCCAAGGCCTGTCCAGCTCTGCATCCTCCTCCCCAGCAGATGCAATGCCAGCAGCAATCAGCTATGTGCCGGGCCATTGCCTCCTGCTGCATCTCAGGGCTGTGCTAGGCTGCTCCTGGACCTGAACCACGAAGACACGGAGACCCTGACTTAATCTACTGCTATTTTCACTGTGTGTTCAGAAAAGCCCCTGCATTAGGACAGCAAGAGTCAAGGGAAAGGACCCCGGCAGATTTGTGGATCCTTGGAAGTAGGACGGCAGGCAATTCCGCAGTGCAAAACTAGGGTTGCTGACAGAAACGAAGGGTAAAAGAAAGGAAATCGGGAAAGGTAAGAGGGAAGATAAGGAAAAAACCACTCATAAGATGGGTGTGAAAGGAAAGAGGTGGCCCAGGAGCAAACGGCAGTGGGAGAAGGCAGCGCGAGGAAGCGACACAATGCCAGAATTGGCTGGCAGAAGCTTGTCCACTGCCTGTGCCCTGCCTCACTTTGCTGTCAGCTCTTCATTTTTGCAAACACTGAAATTGCACTTAACTCTCATGCGCTGTTCAGATATAACAAGCTGGAAAGGGAACAGATCAGCTCATTAATTTTCCTTGGGAAGGGTCTCTAGTCAGGAATTATATTCTGCACCAACATCCATTCAATTACTTGCCTTCACACCAGTCAGATCTACAGGGATGTCTAACCCCATGCACATCACTCATGCCTGCCTGCCCTGGACTCTTCTCTCCCTCCTTCTTGGTATAAAAGCCTCCCAGACCTATACCTTTCCTAATAATAATGACAACATGACAAAACCAATAACCTACAGATATAAAATACATTTCATTTGCTTGCTTCATAAGACCCTGATAAGGCATCGTCGCTCACTTTTTGAGATCCTGTAGGAGATTTACAGGAGCTAATGAAAGACTTAGACAGAGCATCACTCATAATAAAAAGTGGTTTTAAAGCATTTGGTGCCAAGAAGGAATTAGGCTGGAAGATCCGCAACCATTTCAAAGTTGTAAGAGGTGCAGTATCCATGTGTGGCATGGACTTGCAGATCTCAATTGCTTGGTGTATATGTGTGTTTATGCCTACGCAGTTAAAGGCCATTTTTCTTGAAGGGCAAAGATTTTTGAATGGCCTGGGGACATATTTGGGCAACATCAAAGACTGAGAAAAAATTATCTCAAGAAAGATTAGGAAAAAACCCAGAAATACGATCTGCAGTAATGTGAACCGACACCACCTTTCTGCTCTAGTCCCACCATGGAGCAGGGGCTCACTGTAGGACACAAGAAAGCGGGGGAAGAAATCCTGATAGAGGAGGAACATCCCAAATGACACTCCTCTTTGGAGCAATACAAAGATCGGAAAATGCTAACTGAAAGTCCACTGTGGGGAACAGAATGACTGAAGAGAGGGGAACCTGAAAATTGAAAGCCCGGGGACCAAATTCTCCAAGAGGAACTTGCAATTCTGACTGTAGTGTATCTGCGTGTACAGCCCAAGACTGAGTCCCTACATCCATTTTTGCTACTGGATATCTTGGCCAAGAAGAGAAAAGACAATTTAGCACAATGTTTTGAACAGGAGGAGTCCACCATCTCTGACAGCCTACAGTGTTGACTAATGCCAGCGTTCCTCCACATCCCCAGAAATTAAGGCAACCTTGTCAGAGGTTTCCTACCGGTAGCAGAAGGCAGTTTGGGCTCCCTCTTTGATTATTTTCTTGTCACGAAGCCTCCTGCCCTGCTCTTCACTACCTCCCCTCACCCTATAGACCTGCCCTGACACCCACCCCAGGCAGCAGAAGCATGTCTGTCCCACACCCTTTGACAGGTGCCTTTGCCACACCGTGGGCAGGGTGTGAGCAGAGTCCAAGGGTTTTGCCCTTTTTACAGCCTCCTGGGACCAAGCCCTTCCCTCCACAAGTCTGCCCACCCTCTGCATCATGGGGGAAAAGAGCCTTTGCTGCACCCTTCTCCTTCCTGCTCACCAGCAGGCAGCTTTCACCAGGCAGAGCAAGTCAACCAGGGACACCCTTCTGATGCCTTCTGCCGAGAAAGAAGATAAGCCCCCCTAAGGTGATCAGATGTGACAGTAAGAGGCCTGCCATCCAGGGGCTGGTGAAGATACTTGGCTGTGCTCTTCTGGGAGCAAAAGAGTGCCAGCCACCAGCCCGTGCAGGTTGTGGGGATGCGGGAAGCCAAGCGGGGACATCCCAGCAGCGGTGGTATCAGACGCGTGCCGTGCCGCCCCATGAGGCAAACCCACGCCCAGGCCCTGCTCGGCATGTGGCTGTAGGGCTGGTTTTGCCTCCTGCTGAGATGCTCTTGCTACCGAGCCTTTATCCAAGTTTTGGTGCAACCTGTGCCCTCAGGCTAGGGACTCAGAGCTGGGCTCAGCTCCTGCGTGGTGCATTGCACCCTCCTACCCCGCTCACCACTTCTGCCCAGCGTCCAGGGGCTGGGGGAACAGGCCAGCCCAACCCTCACACAGCTGGGGCAAGCAAGAGCACCCTGCCAGGCTCATGCAGCTTGCGCCCAGGCTGCATTTCACACCCCTCGTGCAGGGCTGCCGTTTGAGCCCTCTGGAGAGCACCAACAAGGAGGACACGGGAACGGGCTGGCAGCACAGCACTGGGGGGGCTGGGGGGACTTCGGAGCTTTTAATTGGAAGCATCCTGGCGCTTTCCTTTGTCATGCAAGCCACTTCTCCACAGTGCCTGTGGGGTCCTGTCAGATGTAAAGGAGAAGGAGCCCCGGCCTCCTCCAATCTGACAAACCTCACCCGCCCCTTCCTCCTCCCCCTCAGACCGTGTCCCTCTGGGTACGGCTCTGTGGGCAGATAGACATGATCTGAATGCACTGCCTCTCCCGGCCGGGGTCCTCATACCTCCTGTCTCCACCCCAGCCTCCCTCCGCCCTCCAGCTTGGGGACACGGCTCAGGAAGGGAGCTCTCCCTTCCCCGCAGCCTCCCTTCCCTGCATGGCTTTGCATTTGGGCTTCCTTTTTTTTTGGTTTTCCCCCTCTCTCATTCATTTTTAATTAAGGAGATGTCTCCTTCCCCGGTTGTAATGAATAGCTGTGTGAAAGGCTTTTCATTTTTTATTAACATATACCTCTATATATTTATCTATTTGGAGGAAATGTGTGCATGTGTGTGAGCGAGTGTGTTTAAAACATCCCCCATTAATTTACTGCTATTGATTTTCTGGCATGGAGACAGCATATAGTATTCAGCATAGAGCTCCTCTGCAGGATATGTTAAAAGGCAGCAGTTTGGGTTGACAAAGGGCACTAAATGCAGTATGCGTCAAATAGACCATCGCTCAATGAAGTCACTTAGCTATTCAAAACATGTCCAGCCATCACTCAACCGTTTGCACCAAGAACGGGGGGGAAATTCGCGCTTCTTCCCGGACACAACCATTTCCAAACAGCAGCTTTAGCTTGCTTTGGTGAGACACATCAGGACATACATAGTTTATTCCCCCCCCTCCCCCCTGCCTTCCATCTCCCAGTGCCGGTCTTTGAAAATCAGTTCTGCGGTACCCGCTCCCCGTTCTCTCCCGTCGGGGAGCTCCAGGCACACCCAGCGCTGGTGGACACCGGCAGACACAGACATTATCCCTGGATGTCCATAAACCCCCAGCAGCCCACCCTCCAGCTGGGAGCCGATTCATAAACAGGGCTTTTACAATGGGCTGCAATGTGCACTCTTGTGCTCTCGCTCTCTCCTTCTCGCTACGTGTGTAACATAAACCACGCATTTGCATCGGTTGCCCCTATCCCTCCAGCACAGGCTGAAGACCACCTCCCCAGCCCACACATACGCCAATAGCAGTACTGAGCAACACATATTCAAAAGTGAATCACTGGCCCCTCTTTTCTTTCCCCCTCCCTTAGGAACGTCTGATTCCAGAAGTTCGCTGCGGCGATGTCTCTTCTGCCATCAGACATGTCACTGAGTTGCTGTTCAGTTTCACCACATCAGACTTAGGCTGATTTTTCCATTCAGAGACTTGTTTATTTTTAGCCTTTACCATAAACCTTAAAAAAAAAGCCCCAAACAAAAACCCACCCGCAACAGCAAACAAACGGGGGAAAAATGCCAGCCCCAAACCAAACCAATCGGCCGCTAACTGGACCCCTCTGCACCCAGCCCAGTGAGATGTGGTGGCTTACAGACATTACGAAATGCTCTGAACTCTGCTCGAGATGACTGGAATCGTTAGATTTACTGTACGAGGCATTTTGGACACAACAGGGTTGCCTCCCTTTCTCTCTTTTTCCCTCCTAAAGTGAACTAATAATTGCACTCGAAGTGCTTTGCAGTCACCCCCTCCCCACATCGTCCCTCACTCCCAGTCTTGTCTTTGCAAATAAGCCATTTGCAAAGAGAGCAATTATTTCACTCTGTGGTTACAGCCGGAGCACAGCAGTAATACAGCATTTTGGCATTGCTTTCCCAGGCAATACAAACAAGCTGAAGGCGGGCAGACCACACAGTTGCTTTTTGGAAAGGTCTTTCGGTGTTTTTGTAACACGCACATTATTCCAGTCGGAGGGGGCAAGTGAATTTTTGGGGAAGGTGGGGGGTGAGGAGGGTGGGGAAGAGGAAGGGATAAGGGAACAGAGCACAGAATGTTTTGCCTGTCTTCTTGCCTCTGCGCCCTGAGTAACTGAGCCCACCGGTCTCGATCCGTGGTGAAAGGAATGAAGTGAGAAAATGGTGGAATGTGGAGGGATTTATTTGGAGGGGGGGAGAAATATGGGGTGGTGGGAGAGGAAAGGGGGGATGTGTGGAGATCCAGAATCAAATACCTTCCAGGCAGCAGGTTCTCCATAATCCAGAATGGGTCATGACTTCCTCGTTCTTTTTGCTGGTTTCGTTCTCACTGACAGTTTTAGTCTTGCAAACCCCTCTGGAGTAAAGCCAGTAGTCGGTCCCCACAGCTATGGTCATCAGGCTGAAGGCAGCGAAAGCACCAACGGTGGTTAAAAGCATCTGAACACCTCTGTCAAAGAGCCCCATAATTCTTCATTATACAAATACCCAACCGCCTTCTGATTCTTGGGGTGTGTGTGTTTAATAAAATAAAAGAATAATAATTCCGACTAATAATATAATGGATATATATAGAGAGATAGATATCAAAAAAGGGAGGTAAGAAAGCCCACGGAAAAGAGTGTAAATTAGAAAGACCACACGGGAAGAGGCTTGCCTTTTAAATCGGAAACGTTCTGGTTGAAATATAAAAAAAGGAAAAAGGAAAAAGAAAAAAAAAAAGAGAGAAAAGAACCAAGAAAAACCAAACAAATAAAGAGAGAACCCCCCCCAAAACGAGACGCCTTAATCCCTTTTTCTAAAATTCTGGTCTCCAGTTTCCATATGTAATGGCTAATTTGGAGATGGCTTCCACAGTGAACAGGGGAGCAGCAGCAGCATCCTCAACACAATCTCTCATTATCTGGACCTAGACAGTTAGAGACTGTAAGAGCAGAGATGCAACCTTCAGTCTTCTTGCTTAGCTCTGCAGCCTGCGCCATGAAAATCCTTTTCCTTCCCAGTTATCTTCCTTGGGTTTTTATTTTTTTTTTTTTCCCGGCAGCGGCAGTCGCTCCAATCCTCTCTCACTTTTTCTCGCTTGCTTCTCCTTCCTTTCGCTCGCTCCTACCGCCAAGCCAGACCGCCCAGTATACTGTAAGCCCTTGATTTCAGCTGAACAGGTGCCGAGGTCTCGCCTCCCATGGCTTTTCCGCACAGCCGCGGCGCTCGCTCCCG